AACATTGATACCTGACAAGGTTATCAGAGAAAGGGTAATTATAGGACACTTTCTCTCATGAATTTAGATGCAGAAGTCTGAGGTCAGGGATGTACTAGAAAGTACAGTCTTATGGGTTCCATCTCACACATATTAAATTATAATCTCTGAGACGAGAGTCCAATGAGAGATGAGTTTTAATAATTCTAAGTAATTCAGATGCAGTTTAAAGGCAAGCATGTGTAAATGTTTGTTTTTCAAACTTTCTAGGTAACTCAGCTAAGGGAAATAATGAATAGACTATCAGTGTGCAACATAGACGTTTCTTTTCAAACTACAAATTGAAAAAAATGAATTTGAGAAGTAGCATTTGTTTCCAAATTTGGGGAAGATATAGCAGAAATTCTCGGGACAGATGCCCAGCCCATAAACCTGTTCCCGTCTGAACTTCTTTGGGAACTTCCTGTGCCCATCTGCTGGGATGGCCCCTAAGAGCCATATTTTTCTACAGGCCAAGGAGCAGTATTTTCTGCTAGTAGCCAGGGATTCCTCCTTTTGACAGCACTTGATCCCCAACCAATCATTTGGGGATCGAGTGCTGCATCTCATCAATTACCTTAGAGATAATTAAATCTGTAACCCTGCATCTCATCAATTACCTAAGAGATAATTAAGTCTGTTAGCAGGGATGCATAGAAAAAAGAAGTCAATGCTTCACATTTAAATTACTAAATACTTTTTTAAACACATAGAATAAATAATAGTTTGAAAACCAGCATTTTTACTGCAATAGCTGGGTATTTTGAAAGAGAAAAGGGTGCTTTGGTTTTTTTGTTTGGTTCAGTTTCTAAATGCTAAGAGCCTAAAGGACTTAAGAACATAACTTTTTATCACAAACCATATTGGAAAGAATAAACCATGGCCTATGAGTCAACTTCTACATATCAAAAGAGGAGGAGTTTTGGAGAGACAAAGAGAAGAGATATATAGAATATAACCTGTAAGGGTTTTGGAGAAGGGAAACATCACCACTATCCATTCCTCCCTGTAATGAGCTACAGACTGGCTAGGAAATCCCAGAGAAACTGCTACTCATTTCCAGCTTCCTGGGGTAGATGGCAAGTCACTCTGAGAACCCCTGGGTGTCAGAAGGACAAAAAAGGAAGCGAGGCGCAGAGTGGGGGACATGTTGTTACTGTATCCAGGCCAAGGACACCTGATGCAGCCCAACCTCCTAAGGCTCCTGCAGCTCTAGGGTTATGGGACAATATTGAAAATTGTTCTGTGCCATTGAGACAGATGGAAAAGTACTTGAATAAGGGCCAGTAGACCAGAGGGACTTACAGAAAGGAAAACCATGCTGTTAGCTAATATTACACAGGTCATATGAGCCAGATTTTATAGCAGGAGATTTCAGCAGTGAAAATCAGAGAAAGGATAATGTCCCAAAAGGAGATGAGAAATGCATGTCAGTAGATGTCAGCAGAGGCCAGAACTTGATCAAGCACCAAAGGTCCCCTCTCTCTAATACACACAATAGAATATAATGCCTCCACTCATCCACACATCATTTTGAACCTTAAAGTAAATTCCCAGAGGGAGGAATGTGGAGAGATTATAAACCACTAGATTGCAAGTGATCAGGTTAAATTAGATCACACATTTATGCTGACATTCAAAATCTTGCAGAAATCTGCCTCTAACCTGCCTTTCCAACTATGTCTCTGAAATGACCATACACAGACTTTCTAGTCAAGCCATTCCTTTCTACACAGACATGCCTGGGTGTTTTTACTTCTGCATGTTTCCTGGTAACATTTTTCCTGAGCTCCCCAAACCTCTTGAAGTTCTAATGCTTCTGATTGAACTAATAATGAACGGAATGAGACTGAGTTGATGAGGGAAAATACTGAATGACCAGAATGTCCTTCTTAGAATTATCTCCCTGTCTGAAATTTATCTTTCTAGGAACACATAGCACCTCATTTTTTTTTTCTGCAAAAGATTTAGGGATTATTTTTGCCATATATTTGTTTAACTCATATTATCAGCCACTGCTTTTTTATCATATGTTATCTATCATTATTCCACAACTATATCCGCTTGTATTTGCCTACGTCTAGACGCATAATTGCCTCCAAGAGTGAAATCCTCTTGAGACAGATATTGTACTTTTGGTGAGAAATGAATTAAGTGAATAAATCCAAACTCCTGCAACCATAACTTCTCCTGACTTTTCACAATGCTAGCCATAAGGAAAAAAATGCAAAGTAAGACAGCAGAAACACCAAAACTATGTTTTCTACAGGACTTTCAAGTACTAAGAGAATAACTGAGTTCAATATTTGTGTCCTATTGCCTTAGAGGAGGACAAATTTTCATGGACCATGTTTTCTGCAGCTTTTATGGGGAATCTTTATAGCGAAAGGAAGTGCATTAAAGACAGCAAACATAGGAAGTGGAAGGTGGTGGCTGCACCTGTGCTGTCACTTTCTGGCCAACTCTGTTGCCAAACTTTGTGCTAATCACCTTAGACGCTTGCACACTTTTAGGAAGCTTTAGTGGGTGATAGCTATAAAAATGCAAGCTATTGTTTTTGGTAATAACCAGATATTATTATCCCATCATTTAGTGCTTATTAAAGTAAACCAGAAGAGTTATATTGGGAAAACAACTTTTTATGTACCTTAAAGTGTGCTATGTCTGAGCAATTTATACAGTTCAATGTACAAGTTTTCCTTTTCTAATCTATTTTTTCTTTATTTTCCAAATTCAATGTGCCAGGCAGATGACTGATTTGGGAGCAATAACAATGCATTACACTGCACTGTATAAGATTATCAAAATAATATTTTTGGGGAGTCAGTGGTCAAAATAGACATCAATTTAGATACAAAAAGCAATGGAAATTTTAAAAATTAACATTTATGTTTCATGAAATGTATACATTCTATACGTTTATATTTTATTCACATTTTATACTTTATATTTTTACCCCAGAAGCAATAATACAACTTTTATATAGTCTTCTAAAATCATCAAACATTATATCAGCTCTCCATATTTCCACTGGCTTTGTTAATGTTTATTAATGTAACACTCCCCTTTCTGGTTTTCATTATTTTCATCTATTTTTCATCACAGTCACATAACAAGAGGAAAGAAAACTAGTACTTGTCTTTGAAATAATAAGTTTTAATTCCCTCTTAAACACAGATTTCCATATTAAGAATATCTAAATTTTTAGAATCAATAAGTGGACTCCAACTAAATATTCTCTTATTTATATAAAGTTTATTTTAATGATTTTATTTATAATAATATTTTAATTATTATTACCTTTTAGTCAGTGAATAATTATTTGTTTTTTTTTTAAGTAAACCTGAAATTTAATTTTGAATGGTTTGAAAAAAATAGATTGGCTTCCACATATTAACTTTTGCAAAAAAAAAACGACTTTACTTTTGAATAATTCATGCAGATAACTTATTTTTATAATGATGAATTTGATTTAGACAGACTCTAGCTGTTTTTCAGTGTATATTTAGCACTTATTTTCTCTATAAGTGAGGACAGCAAATAATGTTTTAACAAGCATATAATTAGACACCCACAATTCAAAGGCTTCTGTCTAGTGCTAGCTACCTAAAATAACCTGTTACCAAAGCCTTTCTTTACAATGTACTAGCATAATCTATTTTCTTCTTCTTAATTTTGTTACATAAATTTATTAGGAACCCACCAATAACCCTCCTTTCCAGGCTTCCAGCAAACGTAAAAGTTGGTGAAAAAAAAGAAGGAATTAATTCTTTTTTTTCCTTAGGCTGTTATGATTTTTAATATCTTTAAAATCAGTAAGTATTTGTCCCCACATTTTTCATCTAAGAAAGTACATAGGTCAAAAGATTGGAGTTAATTCTTTTCATGCAAATTTCTGTGATGGTAGACATACAGATTGCTGGGAAAAGTCGGCCAGCACTGCTCACTGCTTATGGGAAAGTTCCCAAAACCCCACCTTGAATCACAGCAGAGAATCTGAAATCGTTCACTGAGAGGATTAAAAACTTGCTCTGGGCATATAAACAGATCTGTTCATATACACTACTTTCTTCTTTAAAGTGTTTTTTTTTTTTTCTGAATTTAATTTAAATTGCCTCCTTTAATATAAAAATTTCTCTGAACCCAAGAGTACATGTCAACTCCCCATGTTAGCCCTTCTTCTTTGTACCTCGAGCCTGGAGCAGCTGACTTTTGCCCTCAGCACAGTCCAACTGTCAGCAACAGGGAACACTGCACTATTAGCTGTGGCTGGACTCAAGACAAAAAATGCTCCCCGAAATACTTTGTATTGTTCCTTCCCCCCACCCAGTGATACACTTCCACTGAATGTTACATGAGATGTTATTTCCACTAATCTTTTCTACTATAGTTTTCTCAAATTTCATATTATTTCATGTTTCATTTGTTATTACCTTCTAAAATCATTCATTTATTTCATCTATGTTACCATACTCTAAATTCATTCATTTGTTTTACCTATATTATCGCACTATAAATTCACTCATTTAAGCACAGTTGTTATTAGGATTCACTTTGGAAATTAAAGAGCATAACAATCACAACATAAGTGAAAATAACCTCTGTGGAAAATCTTGGCTTCATAAAAGAAAATGTATAATCTATAACCTTAAAACAAATGAAAGTTAATTTTTCCAACACCATCTACAAGCCATATTCTAAGCTGCAATTTCCTCCACCTTATGTTTCTTATTTTTATCCTCATTATTTCCGAATTATATTTGGTAACAACAGCCAAAATCTGTACTTAATACCCAGATTCTTCTTGAAGATATTCATAGCACATTTTAAAGACATGTATATAAATATATTTCTGTTAATAAACTCATGAACACTTTAAACACTTTACAGTAAACAAAATGACTCAGAGATTTTAATAAATCATCCAGTGCATTTCGTAAATCCTAATTTTAAATTTAAAACAGCAAAAGAAAATACCTTACCCCAAAAGTTTTCTGGCCATGGACTCCCTAAACTTGTTGTGTTATTAGCCATAATATCCACAAGAAATAGAAGAAAGAGAAGAAAAAGAGAAAGGAAAAAACAGTATGTCGAAAACAGGCAGTTTGATTCTATGTCTTTGTAGTACAGCAAGGGAAAAATAATTTTTACACAACCCCTCATATACTTGTGTTTGCATAAAAGGAAATAAGTGTATCATGTTTCCTGCTTTTATACTCAAATTAGCAACTGTTTTTCTTATCTTGGAATTCCACATGGTTCCTGAGACACAAAACAATGTCCTTTTCATCATTTCCTCAGCTAAGTTTCTAAGTTCTCTCCTCTCAGTCACCTCCAAAACTGCTTTTGGGATAAAAGTTTTTTTCTTTTCTTTTCTTTTCTTTTCTTTTTTTTCCTGGTGTTTCCTCATCCCCTACTGACATAGAAAGAAAGACTTCAAACTCTCAGCTACAGCACCTTCTGTATACATTGAATTAAACGTATACAAGATTGAGAAATAGACCATGTTCCAATGTTTGAAAATTAGATTTATGTAGTAAACTGGGGGGAAGGACTATTCAAAATTCCATATTGTATTCAACTAATTTTACAAAATACCTTTTCTTTATAAGTCTCAGATACTTACTAAATTCTTTTTTTTTTTCTTTCTTTCTTTTTTTTTTAGACTTAGTCTCTGTCACCTAGACTGGAGCACAGTGGCAGGATCTTGGTTCACTGCAAACTCCAACTACCAGGTTCAACTGATTCTCCTGCCTCAGTCTCCAGAGTAGCTGGGATTACATGCATGCATCACCACACCCGGCTAATTTTTGTATTTTTAGTAGAGACGAAGTTTCACCATGTTGGCCAGACTGGTCATAAACTCCTGACCTCAAATGATCCACCTCCCAAAGTGCTGGGATTACAGGCACAAGCCACCACGCCCGACCACTAAATTCTTAGCATGTCTGTTTTTCTGTTTGGTATACAAATTTTGAAAGGTATTTCTTTAAATCATTTCACAAATATCTAAGGGTAATTTATATAAATTTTGTGTTACTCTTAGTATTTAGTCTGAAAAAACAGTTTGTACACTGAAGAAATATATTTAAATTCAAGGAGGGGAAGCATAAATGCAAAGCTTTTCATTACAAGGTTTGTTAAGTGCTATAGCAAGGCATGTAGAATGTGAACTGCTACAGCAAAGGAATTTGTTTTTCATAGAGAAGTTTGAGAGCTGATGTAGGAAAAAATTACATGAAACATTTTGGGAGACGCAGGTTAGCTAAAATTTCAAGAGTTCTTCCGCAAGCTTTGCTTGTTTAGACTGGATCCTCTGAGGACTGGGAGCCATTGGAAATTGTGAATAACAGTGTCAAACTGCACTAAATTGCATTCCATGATCTGGTCTCAACAATCTTTGAGTAACTCTAACCTGAACTCTTGTATACATCTTGCATTAATCATATTCTAACTTAATAGTCATTAGAATGTGACTTAGTTTGAAGTAGTCTTCTTTGTGAAGTCTATATTTCTGAGCAGTCCTAAAAAATCAGAAATAAACAACATGACAGTAATCTCATATTAATTTTTGCAATCCTGATTCTTCCAAAATGAGGTTGTTTCTGATCAGTCTCTTTTTTTTGTGGATTTAAGTATTAATTTATTAGAAATTAAAATATAAATCATCTAAAACAATTATAAAACATCATAGAAAATTTAGAGAATTCACCGAGCAAACATAAAGACTCATCTCTGTAATATTCTTGCTAAAGTTTATTTTCAAATAATCTATAAATACTCATATTGTTACTTAACAAACAAAAAGGGCTTACATTTCAACAGTTGTCTTTACTTTTCAATATTGTTAACAAAATTTATAAAAATAGAAAATTAAAAGAACATATTATTTCTGAAAAAAACGTAATCTGGATGAAAGTATATTGAAATACTAACCACTTAACTGTTCCAAAAGCATTGAGCATGATTTTTTAATTACTAAATATATTTTTAAATACACATTTTGCATTATTAAAAGCTACCTGATTGCAATAAATCCTAATTTCAAAGATGTATATAATTTCTTAAACATTGCATAGATTGAATTTTGCTTAAAATAAACCAAAATTAGTGGAATGGGTAACTGACATTGTTTCAACTGCCTTCTGTGCAGAAACAGAGCTCATTCCATTTCAGGGCTGGGATACAGGCTGACACTTCCTTTCATTGTTTTATGCTTAACTACTTAGATTTTCTCCCAATAAGTTTTCATTTATGCAGATGGCCAGAACCCAGTCAAAGTGTAGAGAAAATGCGTTTTTTTTTAAATCAATTTATGACCTAGGCATAGCTTGCTTGTGGATAGCACTGGCTCTTGCCCCTGCATGTAATTTTCTTGGTAAGGATTCGTACTTTTCCCTGGCACGGATCCATCTAAATGAATGCTTATGTCTATGTGATGTTTGAGTCCCATGACTTGTCATGTCATAACAGGAAGCTGATTTTTATCTTTACAAAACTGTTAGGTTTGCTTTTCTACTGCTCATTATTTCACAACCTGGGTCTTTAGGTCTGGGTTCTCCAGTGGTCATAAAATACATGGAGAAGTTTGTTCTTACCTCGGATATTCACAGGACTCCCTCGCTTCCCTCATTCAGGTCTCTGGCCAGAAGTTACCTCTTCTACAGGCACTCACTAACCACCCTCTCTAAAGTGTTCCCACTTGAACCATGCTCTCTCTCCTGACCCTATGTCATTTATCACTCCCTGACATTATACTATATGTGTGTCTCAGTCTGTTCCAGTTGCTTTAACAAAATATCCTAAACTGGGTGGCTTTAAAATAACAGAAATTTATTTCTCACAATTCTAGAGGCTGGGAAGCTTAAGATCAAGATGTTGGCTGTTGAGGGCTCACTTTCCTAAAGACAGCCAGCTTCTCGCTGTAACCCCACACTGCATAAGGGGTGATGGGTCACTTTCATCCCATTTTATAAGGACACTTATTCCATTCATGAGGGCCAGATAACCCAGTCACTCCCAAAGGTCTCACCTCCTCCTACCATCACCTTGGCGGGGAGAATTTCAACATATTAATATTGGGAGAACGTAAACATCCAGGGTATATAAAAATGCTTTGCTTTTTTCGTTATGTTTTGTCTCTTCCACCAGAAATAAGTTTCATGAGGATAGGAGCTTTATTGATTTCGTTCATAAACTGAATTCCAGTGGCTACAATAGTGCCCGGTGTGCAATAGGTTCTTCATAAATATTTATTAAATAGGAGAATGAAATAATTTGAAGGGATCTCAAGATGAAAGTATTTTGGACACTCCAAATTAATAGAAGTGTCACTTAACACTTAAAAACAAGTTAAAAATCTCTATTCACATGCATTTTAATATTTTTAAATTTTAAGTTATAACTTCATACAGAGTCAAATGATACAAAAGAACATCATCACATTTAAGAGAAGGTACACATTTGACATTAAATTTCATTTTTTAACTTTATCTTTTAAAACTGTAATAGGTTTCATTTTCCCAATACAAAATGGACCAAAACAACTTCACTAAACTGGGAGTACTTTCAGAACCTGTAAGAATGCCTCACAGAAATTAAATTTTTAAATCTATTTTTTATTTCAAATTTTTAGAAAGTAACTGGGAGGATGAATAAAAATGTGAACATGTCATTTTAATAGAGTTATGCCTTTTTGTTTGTTTACACAGTATAAATGTTGGTCTTCTTTTTATTTCTCCTTAATTCATTCACTTTGGTAGGAGAAATAATAAAATTAAGAACAGAGGTGATGATGGCAACATTAAAATTGACAACATTAAAACTGAGATCAGGTAATAAATGTGAGAATCTAACTGTTAAGTTTTAAGATTTTACAAGCTGCAGTGGAAATAAAGATAATTTCCCAAGGTCAGTGTCATTAATTTTTTTCTCAGTAAATAAGTCTTCATGAATGTCTGACTGTGGTTATGGAAAGTGATTATCAGATTTGAGAGATAAATTGACTTAAATCTGCACAATAAGAGACAAAGCTAGAGCCACAGGGAGAAAGTGCTGAAATTAATTCTGATAGTTTTTTGGTTGAGTCTTCAGGGTTTTCCACATATATGGTTAAACCATCTGCAAATAAAAATATTTTCACTACTGATGTAGATGCTTTGATTACATTTTCTTCTCTAGTTTCTCTGGCTAGGACGTCCAGTACTATGTTGAATAGATGTGGCAAAAGTGGGCATTCTTGTCTTGTTCCTGGTCTTAAAGGAAAAGTTTTAAGTTTCTTTCCCATTGATTATCATGTTGGCTGTGGGCTTTTCATATATGACTTTTATTGTGTTGAAGCAAATTCTTTCTATATTTATTTTTCTGAGGGTCTTTATCATGAATTGATGTTGAATTTTCTCAAATGTTTTTCTGCATCTGTTGAGATAATTGTGTATGGTTTTGAGTTTCATTCTATTAATGTAGTGTGTCACATTGATTAATTTTCATATGTTGACTTCTGTTGCATTCCAAAGATAAATCCCACTTGATCATGTTGTATAATCCCTTTAAAGTGCCCTTGAATTTGTTTTGCTAGCATTTACTGAGGATATTTGCATGTATTTTCATTAGGGATATTGGCCCATATTTTTCCTTTTTTGTGGTATGGTTTGTCTAGCATTGGAATTACAGTGATGGCCTCATAAAATGAGTTTAGAAGTATTCCTTCTCTTCTGGTTTTTTTCTTTTTTTATTGTATTTGACTGAACCATATCAGACTTTTTGGTGTGTGTGGATGTGTGTGTGTGTGTGTGTGTGAGAGAGAGAGAGAGAGAGAGAGAGAGAGAGAGAGAATTTAAGACAATTGTTATTCTTTTATGAATGTTTGAAATCAGTACATTTGCAGGCTACAAAATCAACATACAAAAATCAATGGTATTCTATACACAATGAAAACTCTGAAAAGGAAATTGATAAAAGAATTCCATTTACAATAGTAATAAAAAGAATGAAATACTTAGGAATAAACTTAACCAAAGAAGTGAAACATTTTTACACTAAAAAGTGTAACACCTTGTGAAAGAAATTAAAGAAGACCCAGGTAAATGAAAAATTCTAATGTCATGAATTGGAATAATTAATATTGTTAAAATGCTCACTTGCCCAAAGTGATCTAAAGATTCAATGCAATCCCTATCAAT